CATAGTTTTTTTGATTGATTAACAATAGGGTCTTTCGTAGGAGTTACGTATGGGTAAAGTATATTCAATTTGTAAGCGTTGAGTAATTGGTTACGTAGTTGGATAATCTTTTGATAGGGTGATCACTAGAGTTAGTTACAGTAACGACATAATTACGTCATTAGAGTTTATTAGAGTAACGATGTAATTATGTAGTTTTTTGGTCAGTTTTTTGATCAGTTTTTTGATTAGTAATCGCTAAGGCATATTTAAATGGGATAAGGTTTTTCACAGACAAAGTAATTTCTGTTTTTTCTGCTAACCGGACTTTGTCTGGTTTTTTCGTCCCGCCCTTTCCTACCCTCAACCACCCTAGTATCACTCCAAAAATCAGTTACGTATCAGTGTTCAAAAATTTTTAGTATTGATATACCGATAACTTTGTCATATGATATAAGATTGAAAATAATACACGAAACAAAGTGAATAGTAAATATTTGTTAGAGTAATTATGCAATTTTGAATAATCGTTATTAGGAACCTGCACAGGCCTAAAAATTTGGACTTTTGCCGGCCCACTCGGCCCGCAAAATAAAATTTACTATGTTTTTTAAAATTTCGGTCTGCATTTTATTATGTTTATACCTTATCAGGCCTGCAGTTTTGAGAGGTTTTTGAAATTTTAAAATTTTGGCCCGGCCCGTGCAGGCCTCTAATCGTTATTTATAACCACCTGAATTTTTATTTTAATACGCATTTAAAAAATATAATGCAGTTTATTTTAACTGTAAAATATTACAAGGCTTACTACGTACAATGTTTTGCTAAAAAAAATTGTTAAGCTTTGCATGTGCAAATATAATAAAACAAAAATTACTTTAATAATCTAAAAAAATTTCATTGCTTATTGCTGTAATCGATATGAATTGTGAGAGAAAAGATCTGTTATTAGATATTTAACTATCAATAAAATATAATTGTTTAAAATTAGAATACTTGATTGTATATAAACTTACCAATTTATTTATTGCCAATAAAAGGTATTTGGATTTCATCCATTCCATGTATTTCTTGTCATTTTGGCATTTTCAAATTTTTCTAATTTCTCAATCATCTTTTTTATAGGATTAAAGTTTTTTTCAACTGAGTATAACCATTTTTTTTGCTAGGGAAGAGCAGATGACTGTTCTATAAAACTCATAGCTTGCACAAAAAAAAAGGTTATTTATAAAACACATATACTATAACTGATAAAATATGCAATATATATTATATATACCTTTTCAAGTACAGTTTTTAGTTCAATAGTTTTATTATTTGTAATATCTATATCACTATTATTATTAATATCATTCAAATTATCATCTAAATTCAATTCATATTCAACTTCATTATCGCTTATGATTATAGTTTTGTTTGGCTTATATTGTGAACTATTAAGAATAGTTTTCCAAATTGATTGATGTGCTTCATAAATAAGTAGATATTTGTTATTCCATTATACCAACCTAAAAAAAGAATTTTCCATATCTTCTAATGGAATAACAAGGTGCTTACAAAGAAAAAAAACAACTTTTAAGAAATGATGGACATGAACATATCCAACAATCATGAACTGTAAGATACTTGTTTGCATTAGAATCATTAATTTTTTTAGTTAAAAGTTTTTTCCACTCATGCTTGAAATCCTTTCACCAAGAAGTTTGAATTTGTTCAGTGACAAGAAGATTATATCGATGTAATAATTTTGGAAGCATTCTAGTAATTATTACATTACAAAGTACATCCAAATGTGGTCGATTAAATTTGTATAAAAAATCATGTTTAAGAATTCTCCAATGGGATTCTATAATCATTGTTGTATAAATAATTGAACCTGTTTTGTGTGCTGATAATGCCCAAAGATGCCAATGTTCCCAATGATACCATTCTAACCATAAATAACTCCAAACATGAAATAAATCATGCCGATAACAATATTGAAAAATTTCATTAACAGCTCTCATCCAAACTTCATTTGCTATCATTACGAATTCCTTATCTGCTGTTGGGATTAACATATGACGATGATAATGTGTTTCAATATAATCTAAAATTTCTTTTCGTAAAGATGCTTCTAAAAAAATTTTTCTAGAATTAATATCTTCTTTTTTATGAGATTGCCATGTTGGATCAATTACAGTATATTGTTAATGTGCAAGAATGGCATTATATTGTAATATTCCTTTTTTATATTTTAATGAAAGCTTTTGCTTAACTGCGTGCTGTATGTGCCACCTACAGAGTTGAATCTCTGCATTTTTCCAGATTGCCAGCCCACTACTCATTTGAGCAAAATCCTTGTCAAAAAAGATTAGCTTTACTTCATTAAGATCATGGTTATACAATGATTTAAACCATGCAGTAATAGCTGCATGAATGTCTCTTTCTTTTTCATTTTCAATAAAACAGTAAGATACTGGAAATCCTGTTCTATCAATTATAGCTATTACTGCATAAAGTTCGTATTTTAATTGATTGGTGTTATACGTTGCATCAACCATAATAGTTTCAAATGCCTCACATGGCAATTTATTAAAGAACAATGTTAAAAAACATAAGATACGTGTCGGTATATTTGATTCAAATACAATTTTATATCCTTTTTCATTCAAGAACAATTTTGCTGATTCATACTGATCTTTATGTCTTAGATAATGTTTTGATGCTTCGTATGTCTACCAGAAATATACTTGATCAATGGTTAAAGTTTTATATTCACAAAGTTCTTTAGATATAATTATTCTATAAAGCTCAGATGCTCTGTGTACTAAATTTTCACGAATAAATTGTTTAATATCTTCTGAAACATAAATATGCTTTGGCCTTTGATGAAGTTGTTTATGGTATAACTTTATGTTTGCAAAATTATCATTTAAATTTATATTAACAGAGAGAAGACCTTCACATGCATACCGTATAAGATATGGTTCTCTGTTTCGTTGTTTGGATATATTAGCATGTTTTGGATGTTTTGAGGTAAGCTCTTTACAACAATTACACCAATAATTAAATGACTTCTTTTTTTTGGTTTGCGAAACAGTTTTTGTATGATAAACATAATTGTAACCATCCCCTTGTTCAATACACTTGACAATTTTATTTGCAAGAAATTGTTCATGTTGGTCATATAATATGTCTGATGGAATTTTTTCAGTAAGCATATCTAAATTAATTGTCATTTCTATATAAAACTCCTGGTCACTTTCTAAACACTCATTAATGTCATCCATATTTATTAGAGCCATATGAACAGTATCTGTAACATTCTCAATGTCGATAGCATTTTCTTTAACATCAAGTAAAGCAGAAATAGTAATTTCTTGATGTTTTCGCTTTTTACTTTCATTTATTCATGTCAAACAACTAATACAAGTTTTGTTTCCTTAAAAATCCTCAAACGCCTTATAACTTCGATATGAGTTACAATATTGTAAATCCATTAATGGTTTCTTTTTGAGTTGATTAATATTAATGTTAAAAAAAGTAAAAGGAATTTTCATATAAAATAAATTTATTTTACTAATATTGCCTTTTGTAAATATTTATTACGAAATTATTATGCAAACTACAAATTAATATTATTATGCAAAATTATAACCTTCGAAGTTATATTAAATCCTAAGCTTTAAATGTAACTGATTTTTGGGACGATATTGGGTTTGTGCTCACCCTCGCGGATGCCTTAATAAGGGTGATTGGTAAGTTGCGAGCAAGATTGTTTTTGAATTTTGTTGTAGTGCGGATTTGGCCTGTCAGACAGCCAAATTCATGTTTAGTAGGTGACCTGTCGGACAACAGTCACAAAAATTCGTTGTTTTTGTTTACAGTGGGTTTGGATTTGGCCTGTCGGACAACAGTCAAATCTAATGTAAGTGGCCTATTAGGATGATAGTCACAGAGAAACAGATTAACATGCACACAGTTGTACTTTTATTGGCACATTTATTTGCACTTATATGTGCTTTTAGTAATATTTTTGCTTGCATTTTCACTTATTTGCACGATGTCGATGCTCTTGAATTCTGCATTGATAAGAAGTTTGCACAAAGCAGCAGAGACAGAAATACCTATAATTGTATTTCATAGTATTATTGCAAAACACCTCCTCGATGAGAGACAAAAGGATCAATTGTGTATTTTTTGCAGTTTAAGAATCCCACGCATTACGCACGGAATTTTTTTGAAGAAACTGCGATTTGCATATGATGCTCATTTACTATAATCGATCAAAATAAAAATTGTAATTTTTACTTTGTTTATACTCAATTAATTGTAAATTTTGCCAAGTCAGGAATAAAAAAGATGGCCTGTTGTAAAATATTTATAATTTGGAATGATAAACTCACATATTATTTTATTTTACTAATAAAAATAGCATATCATAAATGTGTATAATGTTGGTGGCGCAGGTAGCTTAGTGATGGCAGAAAAAATTCGTGAAACATGTGATTGCCGATCTCATTGACCCATCAAAGTAGTCCACCAACAATCTCAACAGATCTACATTATATGTACAAACACTAATCAGTAATATATCAACATATAGGCTTTATACGTATTAAAAAAAAAAAGATAATAAAATTTAATAAAAAAAAATTTGAATTTAGTTTATTTAGCATAATTAACAAGTACAATATTAAAAAAGTTAAATTAATATAAATTTAATTTATTTGTGTAATTAGTGTGTTCATATAATATTAGAGAAAACTATAGACTAATAAAACATATTGTATTAATTTCAATTTATATAATAAATTATCGTTCATGATATTAGAAAAATTAATCAAATAGAATTTACAGATATATGGTTAAAGACAAAAATTGTATAATTTATCTTTATTACTAAAATAAATAAATTAAATTATATAAAACATTGTCTTTATATATAAAGTGTAACAAGTAATTTATTAGATTTAAATTGTAATGCATACTTATTAAAGAAAATTTGATTTTGAAATTAAATTAAACCTTCTTTAAAAATGTCAACTTCAGATACTGCTACTCAAGATAAAAAATGCTCTTGTTGCAAAAAGATCAAACCAATTACAGAATTTATAAGGCAAAACAAAAATAAACCTTTTGCCAGATGCAATTCTTGTGCTGAAGAAGAAAGGCAAAAAAAGCGTGCAAAGAAACTTAAATTATCTAAGACTAAACAAACTCCAACTACTTCTTTAAATGTTGAAGAGTTATTTTATTCTTCAAATGTTGAAATTTCATTTGTTTCCTCAAATATTAAAGCACAATCTCTTCACTCTGATATTGAAATTCCATCCTCAAATATTGATGTTGAAGTTCCAAATCCATCTCTTCTTTTTGAAATTGAAGATGCATTTCTATATAATATATGCGATCTTGATGAGCTTATAGCTACCAAATTTAAGGATAATAAAGAATTGGATGACAGTGTTGAGTTTTCAGTAATAGTTGAACTCGAAAGTGAGTTAGTAAATGATAAAAATATATCTTTAGAATTTAATCAACAAATAGAAGAAAAAAAGTTTCGTAATATAGTTAAATCATTGCTCATACCTATACAATCAGGATCTGGATATTACTGGGAACTTTGAAACCTATACCTTAACAAAAAAAATAATCAATATAAGGCTGTGCAACAGCCCGTTTAAGTTGTACTCAAAGAACTAATCAGCAACCTAAATGTCAGGATAGCAAATCTAAAAAGCGTATAAGTGAAATGTGACCTGCTATTAAACGTTTTTAATGTAATGGAATTATAAACATAAAAATGGACTTGTGTGAACAGCAAGCAATAATAATTGTAAAGCATTTAACTCATGATCATCCTACATACAGAGAATCAAATTTACCTAAAAATGCTGTAATATGGATAAAGCAAAATATTAATAAAAAGTTGAGAAAAATATATATCTATAAACAGCTTTGCTATGAAAATTTAATTAATCTATCTGTACATACTTATTATCAAGTATATTACTGGGCACATAAATTTTCAGAAATGCAATATATAACTAATGTAGAAAATCAAGTTAAATCTGCAAAAAATTATTTAGAACAGGAGAAATTAAGAAATAAATTCAAAGTTATTCAATATAAAGAGAATGACTTTGTGCACTCACTTGGCTTTGTTACTCCATTCCTTAAAGATTTGCAAAACTTACAAAATATTACTGAGATTATTATTGACTCCACATTTAAAACAAATCAGGAATGTTTTGAACTTTTTGTAGTAAGTATAATAGTTATAAATTAATTTGTAATTATAATTAAAATCAATAAAGTTATAATATAATTATAATACTTAGCTATTTATTTTATTATATTTTAGGTAAATGCTAACTGTGGTGGATTCGACCTTCCTCTTGCTTATTTATATGTAAATACATTCTCTGCATCAGAAGTACTACTTTCAAATCCAAATAACAATATATATAATCAAGTAAGTATTATTAAAGAATTTCTTGTTGGCTTATGAAATAAAGGTGTTTTACCAGCCTTTGTGCTTCTTGATAAAGATTCTGGAGATATTGCTGCTGTTCAAGAAACTTGGTCCAATGTTTCAGTAATACATCTTAGCCTTTGGCATATGAAATGAGCAGTAGAACACAAGTTAAAAGAAAACAAAATTCAAAAAAGTTTGTATTCAGCACAAAAGGCAAATGAAGCACATATCCAATTTGCATTCATTGATCCAACTTGACTACCTGAAGAACAACACAGTAATGTTTGTTCTCAAGAATTTAGAAAAGAACTGTTAGATATAATGACAAAACATGCATTACTACATCCTCTTATACCTATAAATAAAAATGTTTTTCTTACAAAAAAGAAATTTGACATCATAGTGTTTTAAAAATCTACCAGTTTTGTCATCAAAAAAATCTTAGTAATCTTTGGGGATACTTGTGGATAAACTGGTATAATATAACAGATTAGTATTTATTCGCAAGGGCAGCTTATTCAAAAGCAATGCCTATTACAAGAACCACTATGATTACTGAGTCTCATTGGCATGTTTTAAAATACAATTACAAGTATTATTCTAATCAATCACACCTAGATCAACTAACAGAAATTATTACCAGAGAACTTATACTTAATATAAAAAATACTTGGAGAAAATTTCAATATAATCATGATTTTCCATCATACTGGAAAGTGTTTAAGCATGACTGGAAGTTCGCTATAGAAAAAGATATAGGTATAATAGACCATTACTATATTGATATGAATGCTTGGATTTGTTCCTGCTCTGCCTTTTTGCACAATCCTAATATGATATGTAAACACTTGGTGAAAAAATATTCTAAATTATATCCATCCTTCTTTCCACAATTTCTTACCACAATGTGCCATCATGACTATCCTTTTATTGCTTTTAATACAAATGTTCTGAGGATCGATTTAAACAATAACCCCTGGAATAACATGCAACAGAGTAGCACTGTAGAATTCCATCCAATATCAGAAACATCAAGCAATTATGACATCAATTTTGCTATTTTTAATTGTCATGAGACTATTGAAAATAGAAAAATGAAATTAATTTTAGATTTGAAAATATTCGAAACATTAATAAATATCATAAATGATAATGTAGAAAATGATAAGCTTTATGAGACATATATAGCCCTTAGGCAGCATATTATTGACGAGACTACAACATGCACTGAAGTTCTTAGAGCAAGAACTCAACAAAGTACTTCAAAATCATAAAAAAGAGAAAAATTAGCCTCTTGGTTACAATAAGTGTAAATAGCGTTTATTTATAATAGTATTGTAATTTATTTGAAACTTTAATGTAATTAAACCTTACATTTGTTCATTCACACATAATAAACTTCTTCCTTCCTAGTATTTCTATCTCTGTTAAATAAAGACATAATATATTTGCAACCCTAAAATTTAGTTAAGTATATTGAGATTATATTAATGAAAATGTGAAATCTTAATTTACGCATACAAATATTAAAACTTAATACGTATTTTCTATTTCTTGTATTTGGTATTGAGATAATCTTGAGATTATAGGTCACACAAATGATCTTACGGTAGGTCAGCGATCACATGTTTTGCGAATTTTTTCTGCCATCACTAGTGATTGTAGTCGATCGACTAATGGGCAATTGACTGAGTCATTAGCAAAGTCATCGACTTAGTCGACTAAGTCATTTAGAAGAATGCATTGCATTGCATAGTTAAAAGCATTTTAGTTTAATTATCTTTGAACTTTAATACATACAAGTTTAATTTAAGATTTTTAATTAAGTGTTGTCATTATTGCTTTAACTGTATAACAGATAACGAATAATTTTTTGAATAATATTAAAGAGTAACTGAATTCTTTAATATAAACATTAATATAATATAATATAAAACTGACTACATATTTTTTTTTAAAAAAAACAATTTCTTTGCTATTTTAAATGTGATTGCAGATACTATATTTATTTGAAGTTATTCTTTTTACTGTCTATGTTTTTTAAACGTATTGAGGTTAAATATATTTTTAATTTTTAAATATTATCTAATCTGTTAAAAAAACCCAACTGATTATATCTTCAAATTTTACAGCCTTGAGTTTTAATATTTAATTCAATTATCGAATATCTTTATTTTTATTATTGCTATCTAACTACAATATGCTACATATAATGATACTAATTCTAAAAAAAGGTAATTACATCATTATTTTCTTTTACAAATAAGAGATCATAAACAGTACAAGGGTTTAAATGATTTCTTTTATCAGTAATAATATTACCTGCATCAGAAAATAGTCGTTCAGATGGAACAGATGTAGCAGGTATAGATAAATATTTGCGAGCTTGTTTATATAATAAGGAAAAGGTGGTTTTTCTTTCATGCCACCATTGTAATGGATTGTTAAGTTGATATTGAAGATGATTTATAGGTAATACAAGAAGCGGAGGAAGTTGTAAGTATAAGGATATTTCTATATCTACTGAAGATGGAATATGTTGTGATGATAAATTTTGATTAAAATAATCAATAAACATAGAATGATTAGAAGAAATAGTAGTAGTTAAAGTAACGGATGTTGAAGAGTTAAGGCATGATTGTAAAGGCGATTCAAGTGATTCAATTTGTTTTTTTAAGTTACATTTTATATTTTCTCTTTGTTCTGTTGTCAAAAAACTTAAATATTTAAATCGAGGATCTAAAAAACTAGCAATGCATCCTAATTCATCTAGAATTTCCCAATGTTTGTTTAAAGAAGTTAAAATACTATTACATACTATCATTATTTGGGGGCTTGATAGATTATGCATAATGTTTTGTAAAAATTCCCTTAAACAAAATAAAGTTGGGTACCATAATGAAAGAGTCAGGTATGTATTACCTGAAGTAAGATTTGTTGCATCCACAAAAGGTCGAAGCAATAATAATAGTTCATCTAATGCGATCCAATTATCTGAGCTTGGTATTAATTTTTTTAATGTTTCACCATCAATACGAGTAGCTCGATTAGAATCTTGAAGAAGTTTTTCTACAAATATAGGAATTGTACTATGAAAATACTTAAGTCATTCTAATAAAAAAAAGGTGCTATTCCAACGTGTGTCAGTATCTGATGCAACAGGATTTAAAACCTCATTTTCTAAAATAAAAATTAAACAAAAAAACTATATTAGTATATGCGTATATATATTAGTAATTTGTATTTAAATATACAGATTAATTATTATACCTGTTTTATTTACTTTGCGAAAAGTTAATTTTAATAAATCACGATACTTATCACGATCAACAATAAAACTATTTAATTTTTTCATCATATCAATTAAATCCTTCACATTTTTTAAACCATCTTTAATAGCTAATTGCATAGTATGTGCAACACAATGAACATGATTAATATTTAATTGCTGTAGAACTTTTACCATAGCAGAATCATTATCCGTTGTACCTCCAAATAATTTTTGTGTAATATTCCATTTTTGAAATTCTTTGCGTAAGCAATCTTCAATATTATCACCCGAATGTGGATACTTAAAAGTTTCTATCGTGAGTAATGCTTGCTTAATTTCGAAATTTGGAGTCATCCAGTGTATAGTAATTCCAATATAAGACTTATGATCTTGTGTCCATAAATCCATAGTAAAAAAAAAAGTATCCATAGAATTTTTTATTAATTCAATTAAGTTATTTTTTCCAATACTAACAAATTCACACATTTTTTTATTTAAACTATTTTTGCATGGAACCGAGTAATTTGGATTAAGTTCATAAATGAATTTATGGAACTTTAAATTATCTACTAAATTAAAAGCTTGCATATCATCAATAAGCCAATCCAAAAAATGATTTGTAATTTTTTGAGTTTTTGCTTGATCATTATCCTTTAAAAGTGGACTGATTATTTCTCCATCAATAATTCGATGCTTAGTTCTTAGATGACTTGCGATACTGGTAGTACTTGTTTTTTCTTTACATTCCCATTCGCATTTCTTTATAATACCATTATCATTTTTAATTAATACTTTACATTGTCAGGTTTCTTTTTGAACAAATTTCCAAACCCAACTTTCATGTCATGCTGTTGGAATAACTTTTATATGTGGCATGAATGATGTTTGAATATAACTAGACGAACCCAATTCTGATAAGTCTTCCATTACAATTTTTTTTACCGTTTTTTTTTTAATTTTATTAAATATTAACGGATTATATAGTAAATTTAATTGATATATAATTATATAACTATCTAACTATTATTTATAAATTATTATTGTTGATATATCGATATTGTTGATTTATCTTTAAAACAATAACCTAATTAACCAATAATGATCAAATCACTAAATTAATTAGTCGATTGACTAAGTCGACTAAGTCAGTCAGGGGGTGACTAAATCAACTAGACCGACTAGACCGCATCGACTACAAACACTAGCCATCACTAAGCTACCTTGGTGGCACAGGTCTCCTGGACTATGAATTAGGTTTCAAGATTATGTGTAACGTAACACGATCAGGAAGATTAAACAAACATTCATTCTACCAAAAATTGCTCATAGCTCAAAAATCAGCATAGAAACCACCTTTTGTGCTTTAACAAAAGTTTTTGTTGCCCAATTTTACTACATAAACCTAACCTTAAACGAATTTAAGAATTTGATCTTCGCCACCACTCTTATATACAATTATGGTATGCTAATATTATTCATTATTGGTAGGAGTTGTTGATTGAGTTTTAATTCGGGTAAACGTGATTATTTCGTAACACATGAAAAAAATAACAGACAGAAATAAATTATCATAAGAATTTGTCGGGTAACATATATAGAATTAAAATCACCTGATTGTTGATTGCATAATCATATAATGTGATTTTAATGAGCATATTAATCAGGTGGTTGCATAGATGAGCTGTGATTAAGTGCTATTATTAAAGCGTCCACGCTATATTTTTGGCATAAACGCTGAGATCTGTTTACTTTGTAGAGTATATGTATTAAGTCACCATAAATACAAATAATACCTAATATTATAAAGGTAAAATTAATATTGACAATGACGATACAATTATGGAAGGTAATACGGTGAGAAATGTGATAAAAAATTATTGGTTTCTATTGTGATATGTAATAAAATTTGGTTAATAAAGTTATGTTGAAAAATTCGGATTTCATTTTAAAAAGAGAAAATTATCACAATATTCTCAATTCAAACTCATCAAAAGTAAGTGTAATAATAATTATATTATTTTGTTAATATATCATCATTCAAATGTCAATTTCAATTTTACTTTTTAAGATTGACAAGAAATATATGAATGATTTTGAGATTGACGAGAATATATAGATTATTATATGGATGATTATATGGATGATTATATAGATGAACTTCTTATGAGTAGTAATCCAGAAATTAATGAATTTATTAGAAATAATGGTAGATTAAAATGGATACCTTATAAAGAATTAACTAATATTGAATATTATACTCATGGAGGTTTTGGTGTGATATTAAAGGCTAAATGGAAATCTGAAGATGTTGTTTTAAAAAGCTTAAATAATTCCAAAGACCTAACAATTGATCTTTTAAATGAGATTGCCAATTATCAAAATTTAATCATTATAAGGAAGTTATTTATGTTGTTCAATGCTCTGGAATTTCTCAAGATCCTGAAACAAAAAATTATTTAATGATAATGCATTATTTTGAAGATGGTAGTTTAAGACAATATTTAAATGCCAATTATAATCAAATATCTTTAAAAAGCAAACTTGGTCTGTTATTTTCAATGACGAATGGATTATCTCACATGCATTATGTAGGACTAATTCATAAAGACTTTCATCCAGGTAATATATTAGTTAAATATAGTAGACAACTGGATAATATTGCTTGTTATATTAGTGATTTGGGATTATGTAAAGCAATTGGTGAAGCAAACTACTGCAAAAAATTTATGGTGTATTACCTTATGTTGCTCCTGAAGTTTTAAAAGGGAAAATATATACACCAGCTTCTGATATTTATTCTTTTGGAATGGTTGCATATGAATTACTTTCTGGATTGCCTCCTTATCATAATATTTACCATGATATTTCCTTGACTATAAACATATGTAATGGATTTCGTCCTAATTTAGACAATGTTAGTGCGCCTCAATTATTGAAAACATTAATTACCAAATGTTGGGATGATAACCCTTTACTCAGACCAAAAGCTAATGAGTTACTTCGTAGTTTTAAAATGTGGTATTTTAATAAGGATCTAGAATTTCGTAAACAATACCAACAAGTAGAAGCTGCAGAAGATCAATTATTATCAAATAACATAACCTACCAAACGCATCCACAATCCGTTTATACCAGTCGACTGCTAAATTTAATTTCGAATGAAACTGATTTTTACATTTCCGAAAACCTTGGTGAACTTGACATTAAAAATAATGATTAAAGTCATTGTGTCTAAAAATTTAAAGTATTTTAGATCATAAAGAATTAATTCTATCATAAAAATTTAAAGAATAATCCGGAAATTCAGCCCTTAATTTTATTTCAAAAAAATATCACATGTATATAAAAAATTTTTTTTTGTTTTGTAAAAGTTAAATGTGGTCAGTTTATTAGAACAAGTAATATTAAATGTTTACTTGCGGCTAGTTACTTGCAAAACACATGTGAGTTACAAATATTTAATTTTTTTGTTATTTTGTTAATTTAAAAAATAAGATAAAGATATTTATCTAATTATTTAAAAATAATATAACTGATAAGTGTTAGTTAGTTGATGGCATTATATTGGTTCAAGCACTAGATCAGAAGGAACAGAAGGGAAAGGATATTATTTGTAAAGGTAGTGTATTAAGTGTAACTTTAGTAGATAGAGATTATGCTCTCTTCATTGTTGTTCGCTGACTCTATCTTCTGGCCATACCACCAAATTTTTATTTTTATTATGAAATTTAATTAATGTAGCGTTAGTAAAATAATACAATTTGCATATTGAAAATAAAAAAAATTTATATCAATAAGTTATTAATATTAATCAGCACGAAACTGATTTTTTGAGAGACACTAAAATATGGGGTGGTTAAGGAGTCGTATTATGAGTTTCTTTCTTGCTGATTCAGTTCTAGATTTACAGCTGACTACTTTTAGCAGCATTCTTAAGTAGGCAATATTTAGTTACAAGAGATTTAGCCAGTAATTATAGCGAACAGATTCCTGTGTTTTTTTAGTCAAATATAACTTAAATTTGGATTATTTTTTTTTATAATAACAATTTTATTAGCTTTAATAATTTTTATTGTTATTAAAAAATTCAAAATTATCCTCAAGACTAGAATCAAATTTATCTTTAAAAAAATAATATATCTTTGAATTTAAAATTATTATTATTATTAAAACACAAAATCTAATTGTAACGACTAGTTGTTGTAACCAGTGTTAACACCTATAAGATATTGTTTGGTGTTTATTTTTCGGGAGTTTCTATATTTATTTTGCCGAAGCATTTCGATTTGTTGATTTGTAATATTGTATCTCCTCGTGAGCAGCCACATTGCCTATTTAAACTAAAAAGAAAATTGCATCGTAAAACTTTTTTATATATCTGTATCGTACGTAACGTAACGTAACGTAACACACGTTACGTACGTTACGCTCGAATTTGATACAGCTCCTCCATGATTTTTCATCGAATTCAAGTTATATTTATAAAAAATTTTGAGGCTTAGTTATTTGAAATAAGTCAAAGTTAGGATCAACTGTCACGTTGGAAAATACGACCGGGGTAAAATCGCCACCCAAAAGGTTTTGAGCACTAAAAATTTATGTAACTTAACAAAAAAATACAACCAAAAATTCAGACTAACAAAATAATCTCGATAAGCAATAAATTAATCATTTTATTTATTTCGAATAACTCAGTAAGCGTACAACCAGAAAGTATTATAATTAATGGTTTTTCTAAGTGCGTATTTGGAATACTCCATTACCTTTTAAGATAAGTATAATCCTCTAGTTCATGCAATGGCACAAAAATTTTATTAATACTATCAATCTTCAACAATTTTTTGTTGCTGCGTCCTGGATTCAGAATTATAAAAACCTTTTACTCAAATAAATAATCAGCGTTATAATCTTCCAGAAAAGCAATTGCATTTTCTTGATTAATTTTTATGATTTTATTTTGATCTTCATTCTTTCTTCGTTTATTATTAGTGGAAATTTGGTTACGGCAATCAACGCATATTTTTAGAATAGTTTTTTTTTATTGAATTTTATGCTTTTAACAATCATTTTTCACTTTGAAGTATCGAAGAAAAAAATTACTTACTACAATTATGTTAATATTTAATGACAATATCCATGATTTTCGAAACTTTTTTGGGTGGCGATTTTACCCCGGTCGAAAATACCCTTTCATTTGGATCGACCACGATATTGTACCATTTTCATATATAACTTAAAATATCTTAAGATGCTATCGATTATGAATTTTGTTTTGAGTTGTGTCAACTAAAGATGGGCTGGATTGATTACATACGATTATTTAATATTAATGAATACTATTTAAATTTTTGATAGATAAGTAATAATAACTTAGAATTTAAAGCTGTCGATATTTGTATACAATAACTATCATTCTTAATTGTGTGTTTTATTATATAATTATTATAACACGATTAGAAATACGTATTTTAGATCAATTCCTTAGCATTGACGCAAATGTGAGATTAATTAACATTTGTTATCAATTCTCATAAGTAATTGCTATTAATACTATTCTAATCGATAAGTAATCGCCCATCACAAGTGTCAACACCACTAATACTACTTTGATGATAATTTTTTTCTTTTTTTCTTTAAAAAAATAGCGAAGTAAAAGCCGCATTATATATATGTGGCTGTGTTAAATCATGACACGTGTTAATAAGATCACCATGATTACAGCATTTTAATATCAATATTTTCAAATGCTATTAATTGTGACATTTTATTTACATTTCACTAATATTTAGTTTAAGATGATCTATGTCAAAAAAAAAAGAATAAAGCCACCACGTGTTGATAAAATGAAAATCGCCACGACTGCTGCAGTTTATTTTAACACGAGCGAAGATTAATCGTTAATTTGTGATTATTTATCATGTAATAAAATTCGATAATATATTTACAGCGCTAATATTTAATTTGATAATTTATACTTTTTTTTAAAAAAAAAAAAGGAAATAAAGCCGCATTATATGAATGTGTTTTAAATTGATTATATTACATGTCAATGAAGTGAAGATTGCCATGATTGCTGCAATTTATTCTGACACGAGTGAAAATTCGTAACATTTATCATGCAATAAGTTTAATAAAGTTCATCTATTAATGCATGTTTAAAATATTTAAGCGTTGGAATTCGCAAAAAATCTGATTGTCTTTAGTAAGCTTTTAACTAATAATAAATAAAATAATAAATAAAATAATAAAATATTTCTTAAATATTTATCTAAAAACTTCTGTTCAATTCTGATCTAATGCCTTCACATAGTTCTCTGATTGTTTTAATTACTACTAAGGATGACAGAACCTCATTCACGCAAGGACTTGCAAAGTATCAATCTGATCAAAATGTTTTTCAAATTATTAGATGGAAACATTTTTATCCATTTGGTAAACCTCGGTTAGAATTCTTTCCGGGTGATATACTGCTTTTTACAGGCAAATTCATGATCGAGGATGGAATTGAATATATGACGGTTGCTTATGCTAATATAGTAGGTATTGGTGATCCTGAAGATCCTTTCAAAGCTGATGAAATTCCTAATTGTGTTCTGCATTACATGTCTCCTATGGTGGTTAAACATAACCCAAAGCTATGTGATGATAGCATTACTTCATAGTGGAAGCCCGTGTATATAATTCATTTACGACTCGCGAGGTTCGAATAGAATTAATAGTTTCGTATCCCGCGTGAGCCACCAGATTTGAACATTTAAAAGATCATATCAAGATAGGCCGGTCATTTATAGTAGCCAGCTTTATTAAGTTGGTTCATCTATAGAATAAGGTGTACTAATGCACTTGATAGTCACATCGTTTATCACATTACACAAAATATAAGTAAT